TCGCCGCGGCTGCTGCTGCTGCAGCTGCTGTTGCTGTTGCTGTTGCTGTTGCTGTTGCTGTTGCTGTTGCTGTTGCTGTTGCTGTTGCTGCTGCTGCTGTTGTTGTTGTTGTCGTTGTCGTTGTCCTTGGGTTGTGGTTGTTCTTGCGCAGGAAATGTATGTTCGGTATCGTTGTTGACGTTGCTTTTTGATGCTGATGGGCATGCTTGCTGCTCCGTTTTTGGTGCTGGAGCAGTCAATGGCTTGCGAGGCCACCATTTGGATGTTGGTGAAAGCCTGGTGCGGCGTGTATGTGATTCTGACGCTTCCTGCCAGCAGAAGTCGTTCCAAAGCTTGGGCTTGGGTGATTTGGTTGTGCCGGTGTAGGCAGGGCACGGGCAGTAAGCAGAAGGCCACGAACCTGAATGCAAGGGCTGCACCCTGAACCCTGCAGCCCCGATCCCTGAGGCTAAATCCATAAAGCCCTAAACCCCTAGAACCTTGACACCCAGGGCCCCAAACGCTTCAGCTTTTAGTTTCCAAAAGCTAAACGGGCCTAGGCCGCTTCCGTGGATCTGGCGTCCGAAAAATTGAAGCTTGCGCAAAACCTTTAGCCCTAAACCGTGCGCAAAGTACCTCATCATGAAGCAGGTGCCAGCTTTGATAGTTTTTCCGAGTTCTTCCCATCGGGTACATATATCAGATCTCTATTTTGCTCAAGCACTTAGTGTCATTGTTTTCTGACTATCTAATAAGCATATCATTAACACTGTCGTTATTATTCGTTTTCTTCGGCAATGACACATTTTTCGAGACAGGGATTCAGAGCATGGAGCTGAACATCTGTGGTGCACGTTAGCTCCTGAACCCTTAAACTCTAATCCGCTGAGCCATTGAATCCAGGAAATCCTCTTGAAGGTTGGGACTCGGATGACTGGGTGGTCTGCTTGAAAGGCTTCCACAGTCCCTTAAGTTATAGAGCCGCCCTTCGGTTTAGTTGTTAGGGGGTTTTGGAAGTCTAGGGTTCAGGGAAGTTATCGAACTTGGGTTTAGGTTGTAGGGCATCGCAAGAGATGTAAGGGCATGCGGCTTGGGATGTTGGGTTTATGGCCTTCCGTTGGTATCAGGTACCGTTCCCTTGTCGTCCGCTACTCCGAATCCCTCGCAGATCGCGGCTTGATCCGCTGCCTCATCTACGCAGCCTGCCTGAAAGCCAGTGTGATTACAAGCGTTTGGAAAGCTTAGGGCTGTTGTATTGCAGACATGCTACCAACTCTGGCCCTAACTCTTCTTCCAGCTGACACTTCTAGTATTTCTTGCCGCGGGTTCTTTGCTCTACTGATGTATGATTCGGTGCGACTAACTTCCTTGAATCGCATCGAACTGACCACGTCTGAAATGAGAGCTGTGTAAATAAACACAGCCCATCGGATGGTACGCTGTGCACTTCGGCTCTTGCTAGCAAGATAGGTGCAGGCAGCCAGCATGCATCTCACATGCGGGGGAAGATCGTATCCGGCAATCTGTCTATCAATCTGTCGGTCTGTTTGTCTGTCTATCCGTCTATTTACCATAGACATATAACATATGTGGTGGCAAGAGGTCGCGACGTGTCGGAGATCACCCGGCAGCATCTGCTGCGACAGAGGCTCCTAAATCCTGAATCAAAAGCATCACCTTCCAGCCAAGCCCATAATCCAGTAACCATTAAGACATAAATAGGGTGTGTGTTTGCGCGCGCGTGCGGGTGGGTGTGTGTGTGTGTGTGTGTCTGTGTGTGTGTGTGTTTGTCTGTGTGTTGTGGGTGTGGGTGTGGGTGTGAGTGTGGGTGTGGTGTGGGTGTGCGTGCGTGCGTGCGTGCGAGATGTATTCGACGATGCCTGGGCCCCCAACTTTGCCAACAGCCGAGGTCAGCCTCTTCAACGTGGCTTTGCGGACGGTGTTCTGCTTCACCAAAGATATGTGGAATTCGGGTGAAGACAACGGCTTCCACAAGATGGAACGCAGCTTGGCGGTTTGAGGCTTTTCTAGGCTGTTTCAGTTTGCGAGACTCGGAGCACCCGGTCGCTACATTGAGAGCCAACCCCCTTTGCTTCCGGATGTCAGGCTCGGAGGATGGGCACCGGGGCAAGAAGGAGAAGCACTTGAAGTCTTTCGACCTCTACAAGTGGATGAAGCTGAGCGCAACAGAGGCAACTTAGATCGCATCCCAAGATGAAGAGCACCATGTGTAGGTATATGTACCCTGCCACAACAGACTAAAAGTCGTGCTTGGAAGAGTTGGAGGGTGACGTTTCATGTGACGAAGCGGCACAAGGCTTAGCACAGAGCAAGCTGGATCAGCCCGCGAAATCTCGTAGAATCAAGCCTTTGGGCTCTTTTTAGCCACAGACCCGGGCTGCAAGCCCGACCCTGATCTCAGGTCGCCTCGTCGTAGAAACCCCGAAGAGCATAGTTCGTTAGGTCAAGGCTACATGGGATTTATGGCAGCCGTATCCCGTTACCCTATAGGCCTCCGGGGTCTTAAGGCACAAAACCTCTCCCTCTCTCTCTCTCTCCATAAATATATGTGTACGTATGTATACATGTATACACACATAGGAATGTGTATATTTGTATCTATATCTATATCTATATCTATATCTATTTCTATATCTATTTCTATATCTATATCTATATCTATATCTATATCTATATCTATATCTATCTCTTTATCTATATCTATATCTATATATATATATATATATAAAGATGTATGTATATGCGTGTGTTTACATATATATATATACATACATATATATATATATACATACATACATATATCTACACACGACTCGAAGCCTGGATTACTTCTCCGGCCCTGCAGCGACGGGTTTCGGGGCTCTAGGGCCAGGACTGATCGTCTCGATGTATTTGTGGAGATTCCCGGGTTTAGGGTTTAGGGTCCCCCCCCCCCCCCGAGTATATTATATACTTTACACCCCGACTCCTACTCACATTTAGGCCAAAACATCCCTGGGCTACCCTCAAACAAAGACCCATCCTACACCTTCGAGGTGCTCGAGTTCCTCTTTGATTATATCTACAATCTCGGGAAGGAAGAGCTGGAAAGCGACGAGGATCCGACCCAGCAGTTCTGGGCGGGGCCGGAGGGTTCTGCTCGGAGGGGGCGATGCTAGCTGGTGCCTACTTGTGCACAAGGGCATGTTCTTGACAGGACAGCACGCATCAGAACAGTCCCAAATCGAAGCCCCGAAGTCTGAGCCCCCTCCACACAGAGCCCAGTTCGCACAGCACCGGAAGCCTACATTTCGGACAACTACTCCAGAGTGGGCAGATGACCGGCTGTCGGAATTTGATGTCTGGGATGTGTCGGAGGGATTTGAGGGATCTTGTGTTTGGAGTTGAAGGTTTAGGATTCAGAGATCAGTTCTTTGACCCTAAACCCGAAAGTCTAGGGCTTCGGATGTAGGGGGAGTGTTGGGCTTGATGAGAGCTTGAGGTAGGTGCCCTGAGAATAGCCGGGGCCGGAGAGTTTAGTCCTGAGCCTTCAATGCGGAAGGACATCAAAGTGAAAATGATCTTCCATGCCACTGAGGCAACTTGGTTGGGACTTACTGTAGATCAGGATTCACGGGCCCTCATCTCGACTCTACATAGTAGAATCCGACCCTTCCAGTGCTTGCAGCAGTGCTTTCGTTGATACCTAGATTGGTTGACTTCCCTCTAAACAAACTACTGCGACGGATAATCGGGCTAAGGGTGTGGTGTTGTCGGGAAGCTGGTCAATCCTAAACCTGTCCTGAACCCCGAACCTTAACCCGGCCGAAAGCCTAAAAAAAATAAATCCCCAATTCCTACACTTTCAGCTTGTTGGGAAGGATGCATCCTGCCCTTGGACCCCGAGCCCGGTATGTACTTCGGAGCCCCGAGATCCTACCCCCCAGAGGCTCCGTTGTAGTTCCTTTTTGTGCTTTATATCTAGGATCCTATAAGGTATCCCCAAAAAGGGACTTCGATGGAGCCTGTGGGTAGGCCCCCTTTTTCCCCAGCTTTGCGCTGCTGAGGACCAGTGGGAGATTCCGGTTGGAGCGGAGGGGCGGCGTGGCAAATTCTTCACGTCAGGGAATGTGATGGCAAGCGTTCCAGAGCAGAGGTTAGAAATATCGGGGTTAGGGCTTCTATGGTTTGCGGCTTGTGCCTTCAGAAGTTGCATGGGCGCTGGCAGCACCTCAAGCCGTGCTGCAAAAGGCGTTAGTATGGTGAGCACAAGAGGTCTTCGTTTTGGTCTCCAACTTCTGGCATCGTCATTGTCCCCTTTTCTTGTGGATCCCAGCAGCCCGGTGAAAAGCACTTGTGGATCAGGATCATCAGAAAAACTGCGGGCTATGGTGCCACGTTCGAAGGCAGGAAAGCTCTCGGCTTCATCTCCTCTACACAGGGTCTTGTGACATCTTCTGCCGGTGTAGCTCATATTCGCATGACTCTGCACTGAGCGGTTTTGCAACATCCCGTATCCTTCCGCTCATGAGGGCTTCTTCGACCCGTCTCCTGGCTGAAGCTCGAAGGGTCGACTACCCAATACTGAGGCACTTATGCTTTGCATCCTGAGTAGTAGAGATGTATACACACACACATATATATATATATGCATATATATATATATGTGCTTGTGCGGGGCATAAGATATTTTTCGGTACTTGGACACTTGGGCAAGTCTGATAAGTTGCAGAGATTTTCTCGACGCTTTCCTCTGGATGATTTGGGGTTTCTGGCTTCAGAAGGGTGTTACGGGATGGGCTCTGTAAGGCTATACAAAGCTGCTATAAGGTTGCTACACATTTAGAGGTATCTGGATGTACGCCAACTCCATGATCGGGCAGTTGCTGCTGGAAGAGCCGTAAACTCTTAAACTTAAACCCTACTTCATCATAGATTTACAGCGCTTCCCTTTGCAGACTCGACGGTTCGCCAATATACGGACCCATAGGCTCCGTTGTAGTTCCTTTTTGTGGTTTATATTTAGAATCCTATTAACCATTACGTGACCCCAAACAGGAACTAGAATGGAGCTTATGGGTAAACCCTATGCAGCGGTTTTGCAGGAAGCAAGGTCTTCGTGCACTTCCTCAAGGGCATCAGGCGGGATTTCCAAAGATGCAGTTCCAAAAATAACAGTTGTAGGATTTCGGAAAATTCCGGGGCAGGCTGTACTGGGTTGAGGGTTTAGGGTATAGGGTTTAGGTTCTGTTTAGTTTAGGGTTTAGGGTCTACCAGAGGTCTCCCTGTGCAAGAGTACCCTGTGAAGAACGCACGTAAGCAAAGGCGAACCACTGCAGACTGCCACTTACACCATGCTCGACCAAACACCAAAGCAATTATCGGGCCTATGTGGTCTGTGAAAGCAAGCCCTAGCGATCCTCATCCTCACCCCTCGCACAATCGCAGAGGCATGAACGCAGTTCCAGAGTCCTCCTAAAACACGAAACTCTGAATCCGAAAACGCTGATATTGAGCCTTGAACCTTGGGACTGAAGCTACCAGATGAATTGTCCTCGATCGAAAGGCTCCCTGGGTTCCCGAACGTGATTTAACCTGCGGCTCCTGATGGACATATTTATGGGAAGAGCACATCTTGCTGAGCATTCCTCCTAGCCGACCCGTCACTCCAAAAAAAACAACACGCTGCTCCGAAGGCTTCAATCGTAAAGCCTTCAAACCCTAGCACTTAACCCTACAACCCTGCAACCCTCAAAACCCCCAAAACCCTGGACAGCACTCCTTGGAAAGGCGTGTGGACGAGAGGTCGAGGAGGGACTCAGAGAAAGGCGATCCCAAGGGATCTGGAAACTTGGTCATGTGAATTAAGAGTCTTTTGAAAGCATCCTGCCCTACACCCTACACCCTCCCTAAACCATGGCACCTTATTATAAACCCAAAACCCCAAAGCCCTCGAGAGCTGGTTTTGCTATCAAGCGTGCTACAAGGGTTCTACATGGATCCCCAAACCTTCTTATGTAAACCAGAAAAGCCTAAAGACTAAGGGTTCCTCGGCATCCCAAAGTCTAAACCCGAAGCTCTTGATTCCTCTCTGTGAGCTAAGCTGCGAGTGGGAGAAGGGTGTTCAAAAAATTAACTACTGGTTCATTTCAGAGTCCTACTCTACCATTCCCTTAAAACCCTCAACCCTAAACCCCGAACCAACCCTACTTCCTAAACCCTCAGGCCACGAAAAAACGAATCCTCTCTGAACACGGACCCAGGAAAGGGTTCCTCCCCGCGTGCCTTGGTTGCAAGTGGGGGAACTTTCGGCCATCGGGTTCTGTTCTCAGGGTTTCTATGGGGTCCAGGAGTCTAGGACTAAAATGAGGGGTTCCCAAAAAAGATCCTGAATAGTAGGGTTTCAACAGAAGAAAGGGCCCAGGAAGGCCAAACACAAGCTAATTAAGCCCGAAATCGCCGAGGGTGGGAATCGAAGCCGCATCAGACTGGATCCCTAAAGAATTAGGTTTCGGATACACGCTGCTAACCTCAATTAGCCTCCTCTTGGATGGCATTCATTATTGTCGTGCGCCTCAGGACCCAACATTGTCTTGAGAAGAACCTGGGTAAGAGGGTTCAGGTTTGGCGGTCTTGGTTGCTGGTTTTCGGGGGATTGGAGGTTTAGGGTTTACGGTTTACCCATATAGGCTCCATTGTAGTTCCTTTTCGTGCTCTATATGCAAAACTTTAGGATCCTGTACGGTAATCCCAAAAAGGACCTACAATGAAGCGTATGGGTAGGGTTACAGTTTCCGAAGCCCTACAACCTAGATTCAAACCAGTTTCTGGGTTCGACGGTTGGTCAAAGCTACGTGGTTTGGCAGCTGGACCTTTAGAATTGTCTAAGATTCTAGGATCCAGTGGGAGTGTCGGCGCTAAACCCTCACACCCAAACCCTAAACATTAGTTTGAGTGAAACCGCCGCCATCCGCCGCCTTTAACCTCCCCAAAAGAGGCTGACATCTTCACTGCTAGAGGACTCTCTTTTTCGATACGTTTGTGCTTCTCCAGAGGGCTCCTCATGTGGACACTCTCAGTTTGTCTATCTACAGGGACGGGTTGCTTGATCCTTACATGATCGCGCATCTGTCTTCGCCAGACCAACCCCTAAACCCGAAGCCCCCGGTACTGAGGCCGGGACCAGGATCAGAAGAGCTATAAACTTCCGGTCAATGGAGTCAAAATCCCAGTGGATCCGACTTATCTCACAGAGAAGAACGAGAAGACTGATGATGCGCAGGAATGGCTTTGGAGAGTTGCCTTTGTGAAGGGAGTCGTAAATTCCATGATGCAGCACACCCTGCGAGGGTCATCAAGGGTCGATGCAGCACACCTCTTCTTCCCGGGTATACGAATTGAGGTTTCGTGCGGCTATATATATATATATATATATATTATATTATATTATATATATATAGGTTGCAGATGTATGTGTGTTTACTGTTTACATTCCAGCAAGGATGTGAGCACATCCAACGTGCATCACAGTTCGTGCCGACGTACGTACGTACGTACGTACGTACGTACGTACCTTTTATCCATGCGGCTGTATGTGTCTAAGTATTAAGTGCAGGTACGCACAGGGCCCCCATTGGCTTGACCTTTGCTGCGAGAGCTTGAACACAAAAAGATAGTCGCACTTGCGTACATAGTTGTGGAAACCATAACGGCGCATACATACATCAACAAGCCTACGCAGATCTACAGAGTGAAGAGCCTGTGCGGTCCTATGTTTTGGTCTGACCGACTCTGTTGCTGCTCCATTCGGTGGCAGTGTGCGTCTGCACTATCTGAATGTCACCGAACGCATGTCGTGCGCCCCTCACCCGATAATGGCTCAACCCTAAACCCTGAACCAATCTGGATGTCTTGGTTCCATGACGGGCCAGGGTCTGTTCACTGATTCAGGCCCTGGGCCCTGGGCTGCAAGGAGGGCCTAGAGACCCATATAGGCTTTCTTATTGCAGCTCGACGAAACTCCGATGCCAGATCGCCAGGAGTACCTGATGAAGTTTCTGGGACTGGAAAAGCAACCTCCAGCTTCAGGACCGCACCAGCAGAGACTTACTCTATTCCTGCACGTCGGCGCGGCGTTTTTCGGAATTTATACTGTAGGGAGGGTTTCATTCTCAGAACGCCTCTAGAAGGATTAGATATCGGAGTACATCGTCAAGGCTTCAGGCTTCAAGTGTTTAAGCTAGTGGTTGATTCATCGACTGCCTGGACAAGCGAAGATTCGCAGCTCATTGTCTTCGAAACTCCAAACCTTAACCTCCAAACAGCCTTATCAGTGGTATTGCCTATTCACTCACTCAAGCCGCAAGCATGGGTGCGTAGGTCCTTTAGAGGATGCCAGCCTTAGGCCCAAAACGGCACCATAACACTAGGGGTCTCCGGCCCCTCCGAGACTTCCTAAGATGCCTCGCACGGTCACCGAGCAGAGTCGAGAGCAAAAAATCAATTTGGAAGCCTGGATTCCCCAAAATTATTCGTTTTTGTAGGGCTCATGATCTCTTTCTCGGCTCTATGCCCCCAAACCGTATACTCTAGTCATAAACAAAACCGGGCCACTGAGGCCCCACAGGCTCCTCTTTAGCCGTTTGCGAACAGAGCTGGGAGTAGAGCGCACCGGCCTTCAGACCCCGAAAGCCAGTGTCTTTTTGGGGCTGGGGAAAAAGAAACAAGAAGCAATTTGTCATTCGAGTTTGTCCGTGGTGAAGCTCCAACACAGCGTCCCAAACTCCCGGGCGTGGACCCGCCTAGTTGTGTTGGGGCGCTATCCCACATAGAAAGTACTGCAGGAGTCGGATACGAGGCGTTGCCCATGCAGCCCGCAGAAGACATGGAGAGTCAGAAGCAGCTTCCCTTTTAAGAGTTCGATGCTGGTATAGCTTAGTAGCTGAATGAGTACACTTTAAACTTGGGTTAATATAATCCCTTATAGAACTGAAAGTGTACACTTTTTTTGTGCTTATGAACTCAGCAACTGAGATAGGGTTCCTTTGCTGGTTTAAGTGTCCGCTGAAGGTTTCCATAAGGGTCGAGGTCTCCATTGAAGGATTGAGCCCTTATTTGCGGTTAGCCAGTTTGATGTTTAGATTCCTAGCTATAAAACAAGATAGCACGAAAAGTAGCCCCAATAATGGAGACTCTAGGTAGGACCAGGGGTTTAGGGTTTTAGGATGCTTTTTGGCTTGCCGGGGGGGGAGGGGGGGTTCCAACACCACAGCGAGCTCGCAGCCCGCATTCTTGGATCTTGAGAGTTTATAGAGTTGAGGGACGCATTGTGGTTGCATTTACCAGGACGCCGCTTCGAGGTTGCAATTTTGAACATGTAAGCAGCATGAAGGGCCAGGGTTTGAGACCCGAGCAGTGAATCCGAACTTGGAACTCGCACACCAACAACCGAAGCGTACGCATCCTACGTAAGCCCAAGATCCTTTAGGGTTAAGAGTTTGCGGCTCGTGGTGACTTTTTAAGTTGTTGTTTCTTGTTTGGGTGATGGCTTCTGTTGTAGGATCTGCAGGCAATTTGGTTTACGCACCGTGGAAAGGGGAACGGAGAAGTGGTTGATACCGGGCTTTGGCAGAGCTATGGAATGATGGTACATGCCCTGTGTTCAACAGCATGAGGATATCTTGAGGCCCGTCTTTAATTGAAATGAAGGTCTCGAGAGCTTCAGGCTGTAAGCGTGCACGAAATCAACAAAACCCTCATCAAAGAAGTGAGATACATAACAAGTCGGGATAACGACACACTTGCATCCAGACACTGAGGCCCCATAGCCCGGAAACCTTGACACAAAGAGTCTAGGGCACACTTCGTCCCTAAATCTGAAAGTCCGGATGTGCCCTTCCATGAGGTAGTGACGAGCCTGCTGTTTCTAAGAAACCTCGGTCTTGATCCGTCTGCCTAGATCCCAAAGGGTCCAAATTCGCATGCATGACTACTACCTGAAAGCCAAGTACCTTCAGTCTTCTGAATCCCTATCAACCCGGTGTAACAAGCTTAAAGACTCGTATCAAGCCCTACGTAAAGCCTAAACCCCACACCTCCTACAAGGCCCCTAGCAACCCTAAACTCTATGCCTGGTATATGCCCCCGAGTAAACCCTAAACTCATACCTCTTACGACGCCAAAGCAAACCTTCAAAAGCCCCTAGACCTCGAATGAAAGCTCTATTAATCTAGTTAGCCCTAACCTCCTCATGGAAATCCCGATCCTTGGATCGTTTGGACCCTTAGGGGGGAGAGCCTGTTTCACCAGAGGCCTAGCTCGGAGAGAATGAGTTCCCCGGATCTAGGAATCTAGGATTCAGGGGTTGCCCTAGCCGTTCAACTAGGTCTTAGACGGGGTCGAGAAAGGTTGCTACAGCTTCAAGGGTTTTATGAGAGGTGCTATAACGGTGAATATCGGGGCCTTAAATCAGTAAAAGAGGGTTTCGGGGTAGATTTTCGTCTACGAAAGAAGCCGAATCTTGATTGTTCCAGTTTCTACACCCTAGCTGCTGACCCCTAAAACCCCAAATCCCTCAAAACCTACTTTTAAAGCACATGCACAGGGAAATCATAAGAAGGAGCCCTCATCATGTAGGTCTTATGCGGTTCAGGTTCATAGGATATAGGGGTTAGCGTGGTAGGATTTAGGAGTTTAAGGTTGAGGATTCAAGCATTAGGGTTTAGGGTGTAGTAACCGTGTAGTACTTCCCCTAAACCCCGAGCCCTAAACCCTAAACCCGAACTTGAGGTTTTGAATTTTGGTGTCAGGATTGAGGCTTAGTGTTTTGCTTCTCTAAGCCCTAAACCCTCATATAGAAGCTGGAAATGCGAAGCTTTTGCGGGCTGGAGTTTCGGGCTTTCAGCGTTGCGCTTCACCCAAGTCACGTGCAGGGTTTAGGGCTTTGGGGCGGTACCTTTCTGTTGGGCTGAGGGTGAAGAGTTTCCATGCTGAAAGGGTTTAGGGGGCCTGAGGACTTAGCAGAGATGTTCTCGTTTGTAGTCAGTAATACTGTAGTATAACCAAAACCCTGGAACCCAATCTCGACGAGAAAAAGAGAGGCTTGAAAGCCGACAAAGTGCGGCAATCCAGCCACTAAGAAGTGGACACCCTGAGCCCGAAACTCCATGAGCATTATATGGACATATAGATCGTATAGATAGTGCTAACTTCTTGAATTTTTGAGTGCGAACAAGTTTAAGATTTACGAGTAGAACAGCCCTAAATGCTGAATCCTCAACCCTACAGTTACGTAGTATTTTTCTGCAAACACGGAAACCCAGAAGAAAGTATTGCTTAGCATACTCCGCTTGCCATCATCGCCACCATTGCTATCGTGAGTTTTTGGCTGGTACCGCACGTTGCTAGCTTGGCTAGTGACTAGTGCTGTTCTGTTGATATCTACTCTTACCGTCATTGCTCATTGGTGCTTTCTGCCCTATAGTGTATTTTGCTCGTGTTTCTGTGGCAGCGACAACAACGACAACAATAAAGAGCGTACTGCGAGGTGACATGAGGTGACGAGATCACCGGCTAAGTATCAAGCATCGAGAAGCGCTACCATTCGTTATGATGGTCGCGAAGCTTCTCGAAGTTGGTAGGATATTCAGGCTTTCGCCGACAAGCCCTAAACTCAAGGTCCTGCAGCATCCAGAAGCCAAAGCTCCATCATAGGCATCGACGACAGTCGTTCTTGAAGACAAATAAGTTGCAGCTAGCCTAGTCCGTTCTTCATGGCAGTATGAAAAGAAGGAAATTTTTATAAACAAAATCAATATTCTCATGACGTCGTGAATGACATCATTGTGATGTGCGTGGTTCTGTCTGCGAGCCTTTGATTGACAGTTCACATCACTGTTTATCGCTATTGTGCAAAGGTACGACATAAGCTGTGGACAACGTAGCATAACAGACTTGAGCTTGCTTGCTTCAGTACCGGCACTAGCAGAGTGATACGATAGGCTGACTCAAGCTTGACCCGATACAAGTAACCAAAGGCGAACTGAAGACCTATGTTGCTAAATCCCTGCACCCAAACTCTTCGAAACACCGCCTTAGTTGCTGGCCTCGTGCGTGGCAATTTCTGTTACGCATGACGTGCCAAATTCGACTGCGCCGAACCGCGAGTCTCGGACTAGCACAGGTTTCACTGTGTAATATTGGGACCTGAATGGTTTCCATGATTATTCACTATATGGTTCTTGAATGTAACTAAAACCCTTTGGGATTTTAGAAGCCTGATATGCACCCTTTAAGAAAGGAGCCCAATTTGATGATGTAAGGCCGCTATATTACTGTCCAGACGTCCAGACCACATCAGGCCATAAGGCCAACTCGGATTCTATTCGGAAAGCGGTCACAGCCAGAAGCGGAAACAAATCAGAGCTCCTGACCCTTCTGCTAGGACGGGTTCTGGCTTCTTCGACGTTTATCTCCAGAGTTTTACAAGGGTGCTATAGAATTTAACCCGAAAAAGCGACAACTCAAAGCCCGCAGTCCGCCATGTTTGGAAAATCAGAGAGAGGTGAGAAACATCCCGATCTCGTCTTTAGGTTCATGGATTAACCCCGA